TCTGAAATAATGTAATTGATTATTGAATAAATGAGTATTTAAATATGATTTAGAATATATTCATTATAATTGAACATTTTATAATTTATTCATATATTTTAATTACAAAACAATATGTTGAATATACTAATCTATTATAAATACAATAAATAATGTATTTAAATTAATAAATCAATTAATATAACAGAATACAAAATATTGATAATATTAATTAATTGAATAAATATTTAGAATAATATGTTTTAAAGATGTATTCAAGAATATATTATATTCATTATTTTCAAATGATTATTATGAGAAAGAAGATAATAATAAAGAGTTATATAAAATAAATATAAAATATTGATTTTTATGAGTTAAATTCATAAATTAATAATAATATTATTTCAATAAGAGATTATCAATTGATTATATGTGATAATGAAGATATTTCAATCATAATGAACAATTAATGGATATTAAATATTTCATTTATTTATATTAAATATTGATAATAATAATAAGAATATATTTGAAAATAACAAATAGGATTGATTTTATGTTATAAATCAAAATGAAATAAATAATAATGAGAATATAATAATTAAAATAATTAATGAAGAAAATCACATTTTATTATTCAAATGAAGATGTGAATTTGATATAAAATAATAAATAGAATTTATTAGTTAATTTTCATTTAAAAATAATAATATTTTGTATATAATTTTATAAAAATTATATTTTATGATAAACTTAAATTAAATAACAGAAATTTGATTGAAAACAACAAATAATATAAATAAAGTAATCATCATTTTTATTTTACATTAATTTTATATTTTCATCAATTAAAAATGAATAAGGGATAATAACAAATTTAAACAAATAAATCAATTATATGAAGAAAGAAAAAAGGAGAAATAAGAATATTGTTATAAACATAATGAATATAAATAAGAAATGAAAAAGAAGAGATGAATAATAAGTATGAAATAATATAATAATAAATATTAATATATTTTTTCAATCAATAATGTAAATACAATAATAAAAGAATAATCAAATATTTTTAATGAGTTAAAATTCATAAATATTAAATATATTAATTATCAATCAATTCTAACATTAAATATCATATATTTTAATTAATTAAATAATCAGAAAAATGATAAAGATGATAATGAAACTAGAAATGATAAGAATAAATAATGAAATATAAAGTGAATATGAAAGAGTGGATATAATAAATATATTTAAACAATGATATTTTTAAATTCAAAATGAATAGAATGATAATGAAAAATAAAGAAGAATAAATAGAAAATGAAAATATAGAGTTTAAAAAAAGAAAATAAAACAAGATAAAGTCAAATAAACAAAATAAAAATTAATTATAATAATAGAAAAAGAATAAAGATAGAAATATAAATGAAATTGAAAGAATTGAAACACAAAAAATAATAATTTTATCTATAACAATTGTTACCCCTTCAATGTTATTATAATTTTATAATAAAGAAAACTGAAATGATAAAAAAAGAAATGGTATTAACAATAAAATTAAAAGAATAAACAAGAAAGAAAATGTAATAAAATACGAAATAAGTCAAATAATTTTATCTATTTTTAATTTAAAGAAAATTCAATTCAAGAAAAAAGATAAAAATAAATAAAGAATAATTAAATTATTTTGAAATTTTACATTTTTAAAAATTTTTTTGTAATGTTATTTCATGAACTTATAATTAATAATAAAAAAATACCGAAACATAAAATTAAAAAAGAATGACATATTAAAATAAATTTCGTTTACAATAAAAAAATAACGTTTCAAAAGAATTAACCAATTAGAAAAGAAGTAACACTTTTAAAAAAACCCTATTTTCTGAATTATCAAAATTTAAACTACAAAATAAACTTATTATTCATTAAATGTCAAGAGTAATAGTAAGAGTCTTTTTAAATGGACAGTCGATTTCAGTTAAACCAATGAATTCACAAGACAATTTGAAAACAGTTAGAGAGAAATTAAAAGAAAAGATATCTGTTTCTCAACAATTTCTATCAAAAGATGGAGATTTAATTGATATAAATGATGAAGATTCATTTACTATAGGAGATATAATTGATTCATCAAGAATAATAAATATCAAAGAAACAATAGATAAAAAAGGAATAAAAATAAAATTAAATGATGAAATAATTAGCACTATTGAATTGGATAAGAAAACAAAGATAAGTGATATCAGAAAATTAATTCAAAATATTCCAGAAACTGCACATTTCTATACACCTGAGAATGAAATAATTGAAAAAGAAGATGAAGAACAATTTTTAGTAGAAGATATAATAAATAATGATGAAATTAATCTTAAAAAAGAGAAAGAAAATACAGTAGAAATGGATATTGTAACTGCTGGAATATATTTAAATGGAAAACCTTCAGGGGAAAGACAATTAAATAAGAATTCTTCTCTTTCAGATATAAGAAAAGAAATTGAAAATGTAAAAAATATTCCAAAAGAATTTGTATTTGAAGATCAAAAAGGAAGTAAAATAGAAAAAGATAAAGAACAAACATTAAAATTAACTTCTATTCTGTATGATAATAAGATCAATATAACAGAAAAAATAGTACCTGTCATTTCACCAAGTAACACTAAAGTATTTGATGCTCCACCAAAACTACGTTACAACACTTCTTTAAACAATGCTATATTACCTTTCGGTTCACCGCGTAATACTGTTATATCATATACTTCTCCAAATGACACTACAGATGTACCTGAAAAAAATGTTCCAATTAAAGGAAGTATAAGATTGAAAAATCATGAAGAAGGAAAATTGAAAATATATTTATATCCAAATAAACCATTTAATCCAAAGGATGAGAACGATGCAATTGCTATTTTAGTTGTTGGTCAAACAGGAAGTGGTAAAACAACATTATTAAATAGTTTTGTAAATGCATTATATGGAATCAAGATAACAGATGATTTTAGATATATAATTATAAATGAAGATAATTTA